ACTTGAGAGGGCATGTTTTGGGTTTCCATTAGTTTCTATCCCAAGTTTGACATAGAGGAGAACATGTAGGAGGGAAGACCAGCCCCTGTATATGGGACAAGGCCGGTTCAATTGAAACAACAATCTAATCTCAATCCAATTTAACCAATTGAATCGCTTTTTTTCAATATTGCATCTACTTTTTACCTAGTTCTAGCCTAGTTCGTCCATCTTTGTTGATTTGTGCCGTAAATCGTCCGCATCCGCCTCCATCAATTTATCAAGTGATTTTAATGTGGGAAATAAAATTTCTTTTAGAAATCATAACTGGGAATATTTTTTTAATATTCTCCTACTCTTTGGAATTTCTCCTGAATTTTTAGAGCTCACTAATTAATTTTAATAACACAAAGTTCATTTCATCAATTAATTAAAAATGGAAAAATAAATTAAAATCCCCCTCTCTGTCCTGGGCTGTTTCCAGCCCAAGTTTATTTCCCTTCCTTCCTCCCCACGGGCCGAAGCCCTCTCTCCCTCCTCCCTGCTGGAGATGTTGGGCCCACTCCTTCCGACGGCCCACACATGCCCCCTACTTCCTGCGAGGTCTATTTCGCTCCCTCTCTGACTAACTGGTGGCACCAGGACCCACCTGCCATTTTCTTCTCCAACCTCAGGTCGGGAGAACCGGCTACGCCCCCATGTCAGCGCACACATCTAGCGCGCCTCCCTGTTCCCGCCCTCGCATCTCGAACCACACCAATGCAATCGCCGCACGCCTTCCCCCACTCCCCGTGGACGTCCGGCTCCTCCTATCCGCCTCGTCCCGGCCTTAGAGCTGCTTCCTCGAGCTATATAGAGCTTCACTATCGTCCCATCTCCAATTTCCCGCTATTGGAGTTGCCGCCTCCACCATTAGCTCCGCCACCGCAAGAGGCAACTCGGCCTCCGCTCCGCCTTACCGAACACCGCCGAAGCGCCACCTCCTCCTGCAACCCGAAGCCACCGCCGCTTTCTCCTCCTTTGGTCGGCACTCGCTGCTGCTCCAGCCTCCAGGCCACCTCCGGCATTGTGTCCTTCCTCACTGGCTTCGCAGTGGCGATAGGAAACCGGGCACCCTATTCCTCGAAGCTCCTCGTCACCGGAATCCCTTTGACACCACGTCGGATGAGTTCACCCATTCTTCCTGGCCTCTCGCCATCCCTTCTCACCAAGTCCGCCCAGCCCATTCTCCATTGTTCCCCAGGGACCGATGCACCGCGGCTGCCCCTCTGTCTACGCCGGGAGCCCCGAATCTTCGTCCTCACCGCTACCACAAGCGGAGTAGCCGCCATCTCCCCGTCGCCGAGCCCCGCGCACCGCAGCCTTCCTTGTTTGGGTGCTCGGTGAGGCCCCTTCCCTTTTCCCCGTCCCTTCCGCCGCCTCTTATGCCGCCGCCGTGTCGAGTGGTCGCCTGTGGTGACCATCAGGCTGGCGCTAGCTGCCAATCTGTTGTGCCTGCGCATGCCTGTGGTCGCCCTAACCATCGACGTGGCGGGCCCGCATGGCAGTCCCATGGACCACCTTGTGGTCTCAGTACACGGTGGATCAACTCCGTTTGAGCTGCTGATTCGTGGGGCCCACTTTTTGTGGACTCGGTCCACGCCCGTCCTCTGCTCACGCAATAATCCTTCTTGTTTTACTTTAGAGAAATAAATAATAATTACACGATAAATGGAGTTTAATTCTATAAACACATTTAAATGGCTCAAGACTTCTAAAATTCATATCTAATTCATACGAACTCCAAGTTGGGCCATTCAACTTGCAAAATTCTTTTAAAATTGAGCTATACATGTTTGTTTACTTTCCATGTATTGTTTACTTGGTTTTATTAGTGTGTTTCCCTGTTTTGCATGCCAACATGAAGAAGCAAGGCAAGTCATGCGTTCCACTTTGAGCATAATGAGCCTACTTTATAAAAGGTTTTATCTTTTGCAAAAAATATATATTTTGCTAATTACATGGGGTATGGATTGCTTGCTTGTGACCATATTTACTGGATATTCATTCCTTGATAACTTGGATGATAATTTAACTCGCTTGTGTCACTTGTCTTGACCTAGCTAGAATTATGTTATGCTTAGCCATGCTTAATTACTACTGGGATAATCACATTCTTTACATCTAGTATATTGACGAGCTGTGAGCTCAACACACTTGGCCATGTTTCATTGGTTGTAGTTCTTCAACTAAAATATGGTTTAATGGTGGGATGTGGGTGCATGGTTTTTATTATCACACCATGGCAATTAAAGACCGGTTCATGGGAAATCCTTGAAAGACTTGTCGTGCTTACCACAAGCTAGTGTGGGCAACTACAAGTCCACTACTGGACTTGTAGTATATCTTTTCCTTTTCTAATGTACCTAGGTGAACATGGGCTGATGGAGTTTGGTTATCCCCGGTTTTAAGGGGTAAGTAGTTGTTGGATTCATTGTGGCACAGAGGGTAGGGGTGGCAACGGGGCAGGGTGGGGCCGGGTTGGGTTGGAATGCCCCCGCCCTTGCCCTCATGCGGGTATCCCCGTCCCCAGCCCCGCAAAGGAAGTCGGGTGAAAAACATCACCCGTCCCCGCCCCCACAAGGGACCTAGCGGGTGACCGCGACCCGGCGTTACCCGGATGGAGCTAATACATTATAAAATATTGCAATACACTGAATAATATTATGATAAAATTTCAATAGCTCCCGGTTGTGTGGGTTGTTTGAAGAAAGGAAAGGTATTATGGTTGAGGGGAACTAGGGTGTTGAGCTTTTTTGTCAATTTTGAATGGGTTTGTTGGATCTATATTATTGCAATGAGCTACTTTAAGAGAAGTACCTCACATCTGGGGCCCCTCCGGATCACCCGTGGGTTAATTCCGATCCCTGCCCCCATCCCCGGAAGTTTGTGGGGCCCCGTCCCCACTCACCTGTGGGTCAGAATTCTCCCCTGCCCCCGTCCCCGTAGGGGCGGGCCCCCGCCGGATCCCCGGCCCCAACGGGGAAATTGCCACCCCTAATAGAGGGGCTTCCCACCTTGTTTTTAGGGGTGGAGGCAAAACCTGCAGTGTGGTGCGCTTGATTAGGGGGAGTTATGCGAAGGGTTCTATCACGATTTCTGGCTTTGCGGTACCATGGTAGTACCTCATGGCATGGCAATATGGTGCAATATGGCGGAGCCTGTCTAGATTTATATTACTAGTAAATGTCACATCCGTCCGAAATCCCTTATATATTGGGACGGAGTGAGTATCTAGCATATGATTTTTTTTACAGAGGAGTTTAATAACATTAATTTAGGAATTAAAATATCAACAAGTACAAATAATTTATCAAAGTGATAAGGCCTGAGCTAGACAAGAGATTACAAAATAACAACACAATACAATGCAAAATGATCTGGCAATTGGAATCACTAGCATGCACATCTACTAAAATTTGGCCTTTGACGCATTCTCAAGATTAGAAGGGCAATTGGTGCTATAGATGGCCATATGGCCCGAGCCCGCGGCCCGCCCAAGGCACAGGCAATTTGGCCCGGCCCAAACACGGCACAGCCCGACTGGGTCATGCTTATGCCGGCCGGGCCCGATAGCCATGACGTGCCTAGGTTGCTTCCTCGGCACGGTGGGCCGGCACGGCTCGACACGACCAAAGAAAAATAGTTGAGGGACCTATTGTAGACTTAATTCAGCCATTTGAGATACAACCCAAAGACATGAGGTATACAACATAGACTTATTCCAGCAATATAAGACACATCCCAAAGAGATGAGGGAGCAAAAATAGACTTATTCCAGCCATATAAGACACATCCCAGAGAGATGAGGGAGTAAAAATAGACTTATTTAATAGAGAAGCACGACAGGCTATCGTGCCTTCGGGCCGGCATGGCACGGCCCGAGTGCTAGTGGGCCGTGCCTGGGCCTGACGTGCAGCCCGTGGGCTGGCACGGCATGGCACGGCACGAAGTACCAATCATGCCATGCCGACGCAACTTCCCTTGGCACTAGCCCAACCGTGCTTGGCCCGTGCCATTCGGGCGGCCCATTTGGGCATCTATAGCTGGTGCTGTACTGTCCCTTCTGGTTGCAAAATAAACACATCTATTGTTTTTGCAATGCCTCTTCAACCGGATTACTCTTGCTCGTCCACGATTTGCCCTGAGAGATCAGGTGGAAGAGCATCATCGTGATCCTCAACATGGTCCTGCAGCACCCCTGCATCTGCATCCTCAATATACGGAACTGCAGGCATCCTGATGTTCTCTATGCATGTGCACTCATGATGGAAAACATTATCCTGCAAATACATGGCAACTATTATTTATTGCCTGCTGCAATAACATCTTCTCATATATACTATCTATAACGCGGAGGCCATGAACCTCGCTGACGACCATTGGCGTAACAGTTCGGCGATGAACCTTGACGATGACCAGTGGTGTAACGGTGTTGCGACGAAGCTTGTGGAAAAAAAACCATCAGCTGGTTCTTATATACATAAAAATGGAAAGTGCAAAAGCATTTACATAGAAATAAATCAATTCCACATTTCCACATAATTAACCAGCTTGACTTTCTGTGCGATCAAAGATGGAAAACTCAATCACATTCTTTTCAAAGTGATCCTATAAGGAAATGATGTGTAATTTAAAAATGGATTGGTGAAAAACAACCAGATCTGAATTATTTCTTGTCATGTATAGCCCGTTAATTTGATGTGACATCTAGTTTTACCTAGCACTAATTCCAAAGCAGAATGATGATGGATGATGTTGAAGCCCAGGCGTGATTAGAAACAACCCATTAATCAAGAGCTTGACACTGTGATACCACAAAAAAGTATAGACCGCCCTAGAAACTTATTTTGGATGTTTCTATGTGTTTCTTCTTGAAATAATAAGAGGAAAACTTAAAATTAGCGTGGGAGGGCTAGGTGGGTCGGTTAAGGGGTTAGCCCAAGGCCCAACCAACTCACCTTTCTCCCCAAAACCCTAGGGAGGGCGTGCTCCATCCACTTGGCCGCCTTTTGCCCCCACCATCTCCCCCTGGTCAATCTCTCTCCTACCCCCATCCCATCTTGTTGTCTCTGCATCTAAAAAAGAGGAGAAATCGAGGATTAGGGAGAAGGGAAGAAGCGAGGAGAAGGGGGAAAGAGAGGGGCTTCAACAAGGGGACATATGTAAGGTTTTTCTCCTGTCTTGGTTGTGTTCTAGGGAGTAGTTTAGATTAGGTGTTATAGGTGATAAAGTTGGATATTAACCGAGTTTTCCCTCGGACTAGGGTTGTTCTTGTATGGTAGTATGTTGTTCGATCATATATATCTCTAAGTTGATACTTCTGCGAGTTTTCTTTGTTTTAAAGGAGATGCTACTGAAATTTCTTTTTTCTTTTTTTGGCATGGTTGTTTGGATGTTTAGTGGCATCTCAGGATTGTTGTGATTCCTGGGGTGTTACAGGCACAAATTCCCTCTACCCAAGATCCCTTCCCCAGTGATGCCGAAGCCGAACCACCATGCTTCTGCCACCTCCGCCTCTACTGCAAGCGGCAACCCGATGGACTCCACTGTGTCCTACCAGGGTGGGTTAGGACACAAGAGTAAAACCAAGATCAAGAAAGGCAAGGAGAAGGGCTCATCTACAGTACCCGCAGTGTACGATGTCAACGCCGACATCGAAGAGGAGTACCGCTTATTCTTAGAGAACGTGCGTGTCCACGAGAATGAGGACTTTGTACTGGAGTATGACGGCAAGGTGATTAGGTATGGGGGAGAAGAGATGGATGACGATGATAGTTGTATAGAGGTTTCGATGAAGGAGAAGGAGGAGGTGTTGAAGGCTTTGGTGATCTCTTCGGACGATGAGTCTCCGACGAGTCTACGAAGAGTCTATGAGAACGATTCCTCTCGGCAAAAGGTTACTATATTGTTTCAGTACTTGCCATCTTTTGTTTCTTTGTTTGTTTAGTGTTGCTATGCCTCTCACACAAATGTTGCGCCTAGGTGGAAATGGTGGTGGATGACCAGGAGAAGATGAATGAGAAGAATGAGGTTGCCCTTCGTCTTAAAGGGAAAGGTGGTCCCATAGAGGATGTTGAAAAGGTCAGTTCTCATGGGCCTGTTATCGGTGCCTAGTATCGTGGTTATATCAAATCTGCTTTGTAGTTAAGTCCTTTCAACTTGTCTCAAGGGTGTAAATGTCTAGGATTCCTGTATGGTGCAAATACTCTATAGGCGCACGCTTAGAGCCCATCAAGCCCATCATCCTGGGAGGTAGAGGAGTCTGATTTCTCTTCTCGTTCCTTGGTTCACTCGTCCCATCATCTTTTGTTTGTTCTAGATCAACAGGATTGGCAGAGCCTCTTGCCTTCACCCATCGATCTGTGCATGTGTCCGACCATAACCCTTGTCCCCATCACCGTCTCCATTCCTAGCTGCCCTCCATCTCCTATCTCCCTCTCCATCCCTAGCTGAACTCCTCTGGCTATGTTGCATCCCCATGTCCTAGCTTCTCAAACCTAGCCACCAGGGGTAGTGATATGCCCGCAAGCCACCCCCACTGCCACATGCCGCATAGGAGCAGTAGCTGGCACCAACGATGTGGTCGTAGCTGCGGCCGTGATCGAGAAGACGTTGACCTTTAGGAAGAAAATGAGGGATTTTGAGTATGACATGAAAGTTTTTGGATTTTTCATTTGAAAACTTTGTGGTTTTTGAATGGAAGTTTTTATTTGAATTGAAAGTTTTTGCAATTTTTCCGATGAAAGATTCATATACGAATGAAAGTTTTATGATTTTTAGATAAATGTTTTCATATGTTTCAAATGAAAGTTTTGTGATTTTTGAGATGGAAGTTTGAGGCAAATCGAAAGTTTTGAATACATGGCGATCCTTGAGTCAAAGGCTGGCTCCTTGGTGCTAGCACAAGATGCCTCATGAAAGAAAAATCAAAACCATCACTGTGAGCACGACCTTGTGCGACTTGCATCGTTAGCACAAATGCGCTATCTAGAAACCCCCGTATATGTCTTCTACAAGGTGATTGAAAATAATACTTGACTTTGATAGTGTCAGGGTAATGTATAAGGTATACCTTCATAAACGAAGGTTTATGGTAATATACAGATACCATATAAGGGAAGGTGACTTTGTAATAAAGGAAATTATCTCCCCGAATAGAAAGTGTCAGAGTCCAACTTAGAGGGGCAAGGTCTCCTTATCTTAGGTTCAATTATGGTTCCCTGAGTTCTGCTTGAAGAAGGGGGTAGTTTGCACTATAAATACAAGGACCCCTGGATCAAGGAGGGACACACCAGTACAAACCGTAGTCACTAGCCCGAACGAGATACATCCAGAGCAAGTCGGAGCCATATTCGTCGACTAGATCTAGCCAAGTCATTCTTGGCGGATCCTAGTCGGTGGATTAAGGTAGTCAATCTAATCCCAGTGTAATCTTTCTGGTATTCCACATATAATCCCATATAAACTGGATTAGGGCTATTAACTTACGAGCGGCCCGAACTAGTTTAAATCCTTGTCTTTGTTTTGCTTGATACAGTTTCGTATAGCCTTAGCAACCATTGTACCCCGATACTTCCAAATATCGTAGTCACGGTCTAACCCGTCGACAGTGGTGCACTAGGTAGGGGGCTTTGGTGCAAAAGGTTCTTACGAGATGACTTCAACCTCATGATCTTCCGGCAAGAGCATCCACAGCTGGCCAAGCTTGGGAGATCCAACCCAATAGGCGTTCACATGGATGCAAGTCCGATCCATTGTCTTTCCCATCTACGCAGTCATGCCGATCTCGCCTTCCCAAACAACTTCGGGATCCGAGATTGCCCTGACCAGGCAAGCGGAAAGCAACACTTCGTCAATTGCCTCTCACGATCAATCTAAGAGAGAGACACTGACGAGATAAACTTCCTAAGGACCTCCCAGAGTGGCGAACTCTCAATCAACCTCCAAGGATCAGACGCTGACAAGAGCAACTCGACGGAAGGACTTCACATCCTAGTGCCCGATCCACAAGACATCTACGCACTCATTGATCGGATGCTGGATCATACTTCCCCTATTAAGGCATGGTGCCTGATCCACAGATCGAAAGATTCACCCCTTATAGCTTGTAAAATATTCTTGGATACCACCAAATCCATGGTTCATGTTACCTGCTATCCAATTCACAGATGGCGAGATCGGCCTCGCACTCCATTAGTGCATGATAGCACCTCGGAATCTTAGGACAGGATGGTCAGCTACATCAGAAGGGACCCCCTCAAACCACTCGTCGCCTAAGGATGTATGGCTTAAGGATGTGCATAAGCTCACAGGGTGTATGGCAGCGCTTAGCCGATTCGTGGCTAGGATGGGAGAACAAGGACAACCTTTCTTTGGTTTGCTCAAGAAGCAAGATAGATTTAAGTGGGCAGCAGAAGCCGAGAATGCGTTCATTGCGCTCAAGCGGTACCTGACCAACTCACATGTACTCGTTGCCCCACAAGCTAACGAATAGCTTTTTCTATATATCGCCACAACACCTTATTCCGTTAACACACTAATCATCGTCGAGAGGGACAAAGTGCAACATCCAGCATACTATGCTAGCGAGGCCTCCACGACAAAAAATTCTAATAACGCAAATCCAAAAGCTGCTCTATGCTGTGGTCATGACATCTCAGAAGCTACACCACTATTTTCAGGCTCACAAAGTCACGATTGTCTCATCTTTTCCCCTTGGGCAAGGCCACCTTCTTTGTCGGAGGCAGGACAGAGTCCGAGGTCGCCTGAGTAAGAGCCGAGAACAAGAAGAAGTAGAGCAAACGCTATAATCGGATGAGCCAAGACTGAAAACTCACCCTAGAGCCGCTGGTCTGTGCGAACGTCCCGGATCCGCTGGTCTTTGCTACGAGGGGCTAGCATTTCCTCTTCAAGCAGCTACCCTCAGCGATGTTGGCGGCTCCTTGATTCGACCTCGTCTGCTCTTTGAGGGCAACAGACGCCTAGTGATAGACAACCACACATAGCACTTACGTTCACGATGTTGTCCCGTTCCTGCGCCAGGCGGTCACACACCAGGGTAGGTGCATCGTCGATAGTGGAGACGGAATGGACCACCACTTGCTTGACGCGCCTATCCATCGTCGTTTTCGGAGAATTGCATCAAAACGTCAAAGGAAAATATCAACTCGGGAAAGACTTCAAAGGAGCAGTACCCCGTGGCGAGATCCGTGTCTCGTTGGTTTCCCAGCATATTTGTACATGAGGTGAGTGAGGGCTTGAAGAGGCGTGATCGGATGACGGATGAAGTCTTGGATGACTTCATAACCAATCAGACCACGTTCTCGAAGGTCACAGATTTTGTTGACAAAGGATTTCAAGTTGGGAGTCAGAACTGGATTAGAGATCCAAGCGTGAGAATGGGCATATTTCATTTCGAGTCAGGAATGACGAGGTTTGAAGGGGTTTTATCGGTGAGAAGATGGAGCCAGCTAGACCTCCGGTCCTTTCTCGAGGACGGGCAGTTGAAAGGGATGTACACCCATCTCATCCCATCTCTTAGACGAAGTCCGCAACATCCGGAGATCCTAGAGGACTCCATCCATCTAAGCTCATAAAAGTGTCTAAGTATATCTAGGAAGGGCATAACCCCAAGGTACGCCTCGCATAGATGGACAAAGATACTAAGGAAGCAAATGGAGATAGGGTTCAAGTGTAGGAGCTAGATGTCGTAAAAGTTAAGAAGAAGCAGCAGAAACTCGGAAGGGGAAATGAAAAAAAACCACACTGCACAAAAGATGAAGGACAATGATTTCCCCATGGGTAGCAACATGGTCAGTACCTCTGGATTGGCTAAGAACTTGAGTGCTTGGGAGAGAGCATTCCCGGTTCTCAAATGAGTTGGCCAAGCACATGAATGTTTGGATAAGCAGAACCCAAATGGATCTCAAAGATGGATTTTATAGGTCACATTCGCCGTTTCAAATTTCAAGGAAGTGAGAGATTGCCATCGCGATTTCCTCAGATTCGTTTATAGTTATTTCATGGCATTTTGACTTCAATGCAAATTCATGTTATGGTTCTCGGACATGATCTAACGTGGAACTGGGTCGTAGACTCTGTACCTTGTTGTCGATACAAGAACTATAAGATGAGTACGACATCGAATGCCATGAAGAGGTTTTGGTCAAGGACACGACGAACTCATTTGCATTGAATTTGAGGCCTACTGTCAGGGTAATGGATTAGACATACCTCCTATATGAAGATTTATGGTAATATATGGATACCATATACCTATGCGTGTACGGGAAGGTAATTTTGTAAAAAAATAAATATGGTGGTATGAAAGGAAATTATCTCCCTGAGTAGAAGGTGTCAGAGTCTAACTCGGAGGGGACAAGGTCTCCTTATCCCGGGTTCAATTGTGGTACCCCGAGGTCTACTCGAAGAAGGGGGCAGAGCACTATAAATAGAAGGACCCCTAGATCAAGGAGGAATAGACCAAGACAAACCGTAGCCACTAGCTAGCCAAATCAAGATACATCTAGAGGAAATCGGAGCCATATTCGTCGACTAGATCTAGCCAAGTCATTCTTGGCGGATTAGCGTAGTTGATCTAATTCCAGATTAATCTTTCTGGTATTCTAAATATAATCCCATATAAATTGGATTAGGGCTATTACCTTACGAGGGGCCTAAGCAAGTATAAATCCTTGTCTTCATTTTGCGGTCTAACCCATCGACAAATAGTTCTAAATAAATAGAAACACATTCGCTATCGTCATCTACTTTCAGCATGCATAATAAATTATGGCTCATGCAATTTTTTCTTACATTCCCATGCACTTCCTTGTAAGCAATATTGCCATCGTTCTCCTTTCTACAACCATCCCAATGCCAACTAGCCCCTTTGACCGCTCGTAGGACCTCCTTAATGACATGCGGCAGAATTTGAATTGTAGTTACACTTATTGGACAACATTATTATCAGAATACTAGACTATTATCTAGATTCTTAATACTAGGTTATGTCCAATCTAGTACTAGATTGCTATATTTTGGGATAGGGGAAGTAATTGTGACTATATAGTGAGAACGGGGTTGATGCACTAGTGCTTGAATGAACCATAAAGTATTATCATGTATATTTATGTAGCATTCTTATTAATTTTGCATGCAATCCATCTCTTTTTGCACTATGTTCCTTGTTGCGTCGAATCTATATCAAATGACATAGTTTTTTTTTCCTTGTGTTTGTTTGATTATATGAATATTTTGTGTTTCTCCCATTTCTTTTTTTGATAAATGTTTCTTCCATTTGTAGTTTTTTTCCTGTGTGTGTTTAATTATATGAATATTTTGTGTGTCTCCCATTTATTTTTCTGATATATGTTTCTCCCATTTCTAGTTCATCTTGTCTTAGATTTTGTTTATTTTTCATAATCTTGAAAAATGTGGTCCTTTTAATATCACTATATCATAGTTACTAGATGTTATAATGTAGTTTCTTTTGTTGTGACACATTTATCTTGTTATTGTAGCAGTCACATGGTATTATATGGCCTACACATATAAATGATAGGAAAGAATCTAATTTCAAGATAGGATTGGTTGAAGCTCTCAGCAAACCATTTTGCCAGGGAGAGTATGATAGGCTTTATGGCATGGCTAGTACTCGTGAGCCATTAAAAAAGGAACGCCGGACACGCAGTGGTTCAAAGACTTACTACTCTTCTCATTCGATGGGGAAATCATATTTTGATTGCTACCCAGGTATGCGCAAATGTACTACCTCCGTTCACAAAAGGATGATGTCCTAGAATGAGTTTAGTCAAACCGCGACATGTTAAATCATTAGTAGATGAAATAATATCAATGTTTAAATGTGAAACTTATATTATTAGATTTGACAAGAACAAACTCTCATATAGTTATGTCTCTACTACTTTATATAGAACTGTAGTTTGAGAATGTAATGATAAAACATGTGCATTGTAGGTAATGTCATTGTCCAAGTTGGCATCCTTCTTGAATGTAATGTTTAAATTAATGAAATTTGGGAGCATTTGAAAAATATTATTGTTTTTTCTCACTTTTCTTATTTGCATGCTTTCTTTGACTCTAGATCTCGCGGAACAAGTTGAAGAAACTAGCTATCCCAATCGCTTGGCGCTATTGCGCGGGCTTTTCTACTGGTTGGAGGTAACCTCGTACTATTATTGTGATTGTTAGTAAGTGTTGTGTTCAAAAAATTAAGTGTGCAGTATCTTGTTGCTAATGATCATACTTCTATCTTCTAGTAATGACTAACATATTTCGAGTTTACTTGTACACACTTCTCCCAATGAGAACAGTTTAATTGTTTTGGACTTAACATAAATATTTTCTATTGTTTGCTACACAATTTGTCTAGACCTATGCATGTTGTATGTTGACCACATGTTTGTTATACTTTTTTGCTTTTACAGTATTAGTACTAGCATTGAGTTCATACCATGATGTGTGCATAGTAGCACTATTTTATTTCTTTGTACATTTACTCTTCTTGGCAGGTTTTCTTGATCGTGTATTTTCTTTTGCAGAATGTTGGGAAAAAACACCAATTCATGCCATGGAGAAATGAGCACAAACGTTTCAAATATGTTAATTTATTATGAGACCATATTACCTTGTTGCCACCTCCATATCAGAGTGGGAAGCTATGGAATCCAACGAGTTGTGGGTCGTGAACCTAGCGCCAGTTGCTTGCGCATACCAGTTTTCTTTTGTATTTTTATCTTGTTTGATTGGAGTTATGTAAACTTTGGATTGGTTACATACTTACTTTTCCCAAATGTTTTGGTTGCGATTTGTGGAGATAATTTCACAAGTTCTGATCTCCCTAAAATACCGAGCCCATTTTAAAAAGTGTTAAATTATCAAATCTCTTCCCAAGAATACTAGCAACATTACTTCAGCCACTAGGCGGGCCTGCTCGGCCCATTCAGGTTTGACTCTAACCTAGCCCAGTAGTACACCTCCACGCGATTTCGCCACCGCGGCCGCGGCGGCGCATCGGCGTCGTGATCCCGCGCGGCGCGGCCTCCCCACCGCCCTAGCGCAGCCGCAGCCTTAGCCGCCGCCGCGCCATCTCCGTCGGCATTTGCAAGGTCAGAGACCTCCCGCACCGCTCCCTCCTGATCTCCAATCTACGAGTCAACCATTTGATCGATTTTTCTTGATCTGTTGCGTGCTTCGATTTCATGGCCAGTTGTTTGCTCGGCTTTATTCGGTAGTGAAACCTTTGAATTTTCCCCAACCCAAAGTACTTCGATTTGGTGAGCAACTGACATCTCCTGTTCAGACTTCAGAAGCGGTTGCATGATGATTCAGTTAGCTTGGACCCGCTCGTATAGTGTTATACATTAAAAAATAAATTGTATTGTGTATTCTATTTTTAGAGAAAGAAAGAATAAACTATGTAGAAGCTACAATTCTACTTCAAATAGAGCCGTGCAATAATATTGCACAGAAAAATTCAAGCTATTTATCAACAATAACAAATGTCTGTATGCCAGACCAGACAAGTTCTGTGACGCATCTAAATAGATGCTGACTTTGAACCCTGCCCAAAAATTTTCGTTGGCATTAGATACCTTATAACGAAATTATTCGTCTGAAAATGAATGGAGGTTGCAATTAGTATCATTTTATAAGGGAGCGTGTGTATAAAACTGGAATTCCCTAGCTTATACAACTGTGGTTCAGTGATTGCTTCTTTAGGACATCCCATTCCCAGCAGCCAAGGATCACTGATCATGCAAAAAGGAATTTCCTCTATTTGACTGAATCACTCACGAATCATTGCTATGGAATTCTGAAAATGTTCAAATGAATATATTGTCTCTAGCTCTGAAAGAAAGATTTGTTTTGGCACCATAAACAACCCTTATTGACCTGTACTTATAACCAGCTTGAGATTACATCATTATTAGAGTAAATATTTACAACCTCGCAAGATACCGGAAGAACCTGCTGTTATCATATATGCTACAGAAAGAAAAAACACAACCAAGCACAATCTACAGCCTGATTGCACAAAGAGGAATTTGATTAATAATGGAATGACTTAACATGGTGATGGACTAAGTAAGGTTCTTCTTCGAAAGGTTGTACACACTACAAGATTTTGACAAATGAAGGGGCGTCGTCCCTTGGTCCTGCAAGAGATCGATATAAATACAGATGGTCAACATTATCGGCAGTCACATCTTCATTACCAGAATGGCCACTAATCACTTCAGCCACCAAATTTGGCATTTGCTGAGCTACGTATCTACAGCCTGTCATGGTTACTCTGCAAGAGCTCATCCACAAGAATCTCATATTCCAAAAGTGGCTTAAACCAGAGAGCAATCCCTCGTCACCAAAAGGACATTCCCTGACCTCAAGCTTCTGCAACCGAGTGCATCCTTCAAACACATATCTGAGTGACATGTCAGTATTGCCAGAGAAGGCAACAGACAGAGTTTTGATCGATTTCCCATATTGCCCAATGTACGCGAAGGCCTTGTCCGTGACCAGACCAGAGGTCGAAAGCCTGGAAAGCTTCTTGCAATTCATCACAATTGCTCCAAAACCTTCATCCATTGGCTCCCCGGTGATCCGATCAGGGAGATAAGTTTTCAAAATGCTGAGGCGAAAGACCTCAAGATTAGGGCAGTTGCTGGACATAATGACCATTGCTGCATTTGTCATGCTTCCACAATAGTATGTTAGGGTTTTAAGCTTTTGGCAGCCTTTCGAGATAGTTTCAAGCCCAACATCTGATACTGAGAGATGATGCTCACTCCCACGAAGCAAACGATACACTCGTAAATCCTGGAGATCTAAGCACGTCTCAGCGATGGCAGAAAGGCCATCATCACCTATGGAGTCGCGCACACAGAATGTCCGGAGATTGCCACAGGAGCGAATGATGGGAGCAAGCTGTTGCCCTGTTAAGGTGGCAGAGCTGATGTTGAGGGATGTGAGATTGGCACAAACCGGGTAGATCGCAGGGAGGTAATCTGGATTGGCGTCCTGGAGACCTGAGAGAGAGTGGAGTGACCTGCATGCTGCGAAGTATGTCGCAAGTTCAGACACCGATGGAGGGGCCTCACCTGCAGGGTAGCCAGTCTTGGACCGGAACACACCCGTGCCAAGGTGCGTTAGATTGGGAGCGATTGCCATGAGGCAGCACAGCTGCTCTACCGTCACATGGCGATTCACACCCAGCTGGCACAGACCTGGTGAGCGCGCGACAAGGGCCTCCAGTGACTCAAAGTTGCAGGGCGTGTCAACACAGCTGAACAGAAGAGACTCCAGCGACGTGCTGGGCTTGGGAAACATAGAGATCCAGTCCACCTGCTTGTCCACTGTGTCCTCGACTTTATCATTAATCAGATCAAGCACATGGAGATGCCTGCACTGCTCCGCAATTATGGCGAGGCCGGTGGCACTGAACTTGTCGCAGCTCATCAGTGAGAGCTCCCTTAACTGAGGGAATGACTGCGCGATGAGCCTGAGGTCATTGTCTGATACCGTCATCCGCTTGAGGAAGATGCACTTAAGGTGCGGGTATGCGGGACCCAAAGCAGCCACCCAGGGCGATGCGTATGCACCCCAGCCTTTGGGCACTAAAGTGGAGTCTGCGAAGCATGGCCTGCCCTTCAGAGTGATGGAGCGCAGGCCACGAAAACGCTCAATGACACGATTCGGAGAAACAGCATAACAGTTTCTGATGAAGAGCTCTTGCCGTGTCTCCGCCTCAGCATGGTACCAGTAGCGACAGACTAGCGATGCCATGTTCCTATCACGTGCCGTTGTGAGGAACTGGAGAATGCTTTCCAGCAGTACATTCTCAAGCACATGGTTGGGCTGCGGACACCTCCCCACACCGTCACTATCGCCACTCACCGTCTCCCAACATCGACCTTCCAATCCCATAGTTGGAGTTGCATGTTCTTCGTCTTCATCGCCGTAAAAAACCCCATCCACCAACTGAAAATTGATTCTAGGGTTGCCTGGATGATTGCTAATAGCAGATGTTAATGGAAACTCTACATTGCCCCCACCCCTAATTTTTGCAGAGATCTCCTCGAGGCATGACAAGTGTTCGATGCTGATGGGTGCAGTGCCATGTATATTTTCAAAGAGGGAATTAAAGACTAACTTGAGCTTCCTGAGATTAGGCAATGCATCCGACTCAAATTTCAGCCAAGGTGCACTGCATCTGAACTCCAAGTACTTTAGAACTGAGAATCCCCCCTTGTCAAAGATGACCTTTTCAATGGACGTTGTATGCACATTCAATGACAGAGAAGTGAGGGCAGGCAATCCCCTGAGAATATTAATGCCATTCTTGACAAGTTCCCTTACTGCAATATTTAAAATGCAGAGGTTGTCAAGTTCTCCAATCCATTCGGGAATTTTGGAGAAGATGCAATCATGTAGAAGCCACTCAAATCTCTGCAGAAAACGAGGAGGTGTCAAGAAATCCCAAGCAACAGTTGCATCTGAGGTTCCGGAAACCATATCAACATTTTGATTACTGCTAGAAACTATAGAGAGTGTTTTCAGATTGCTGACTGCCCCAAGTAAAGATCCCAGTGTTTCCATGTTTCTTTGTAGATGTTCAGAAGGCAATGCACAACAGCTGAGACAAATATCCTGCAGGTTGTTCAGATTGCCCTGTGATGAGTTACTGCTCGCATCCAGTGTAATGGTAGATTTCATCTGTCCAATCCAGTCCAGCAGATTTGGCTCTAAGAGAAGATAGAGATGCAGCAAGCCTGGCAGATGGAAAACATCCCATGGAACAGCAGTGAGTTTCGTTTTCATGTCCATTGTTTCCAAGAGTTGTAGCCCTCGCATTTGGTTTGGTAGTTCAATGCAGATATCGCACACAATCTTCAAATATTTCAGTTGAAACAGTACAGAAATCCCAGTGAGGTCTAATGTGTTCTCACCGAGATGACCAACTAATTGAAGGTTTAAAACACGAATAAGCTTAAAGTCTGTAATAGAAGGCATACACCTTAACAGTCCAAAAAAGGTAAGTGAACGAACTTGTGATCTTTTGATATTTGATGGCACCTTTGTATATTTCGAATAGAAAAACTGAACAGAAAGTCGTCGAACCTTATCAATGAGCCCCACATTCTTTCGATAACCATCTATTATCACTATGAAATTCTCATCTGCAGACTTTTGTGCAATTAGATCGCGTACCAAGTCATGAACTGTACAGGATGACACCTCATCATTGTAGTTGATTTCAATAGGTTGGATGAATCTTCTACCAATAAGTTCGTCGAAATATCTTGCTGCAACTTTCTCCATGCCAAGGTCCTTTGTTACATTGATAAAACCTTCAGCCACCCATGCCTTCACCAAAGCATCCTTGCTGATTTTGTAGCCCTCAGGATATTTATTAAGATAGAGCATGCAATTCTTCAAATAATGAGGAAGATTGTTGTAGCAGAGGTTTAGTACTTGTTTCATTCCATCTGAAGTAGAATCTGTCCACAAATCTGGTCTTAAAGAATTGCAAATGTGTATCCATAGCCGCATTGAAACAACAGGCTGACTTGCCAAAAGGCTAGCTATGATGATTATTGCTAGTGGCAAACCACCACATATTTGAACAATTTTATTTGAAGCTTCTTTGAATCTATGAGGACAATCCCTTTCAGAGCCAAAAAGTCCTTTAAAAAATAGTTTTCTTGAGCAATCATCTCCAAGAGGTTTCATCTCAAAAATATACTCCGAACGATGAAGGCAACAATTTAATGCAACACTTATAATTCTTGTAGTTGTTATAATTCTGCTCCGCTGAGTACACTCTGGAAAAGCTTGATTTAGAATATCCCACACAGAAGCAGCCGATAAATTGTCAATGATAATTAAATACCTGCCAATAATATATGCATATTAAATACATTTTGCTAGGCTACTATTAAAATTGATCAGAAGGGAGCTAAACTAAAATAAACTAGCTGGGTGGCCCGCATAATTGTGTGGCTAGCACCATATAAAATCGGAGTAAACTCTTTTACACATAATTTTCTTAAACTTTTTAAATAGTCTATAATCATCTCATTGTCCTAGGATTTTTAAAAAATCAAACCTTTTCGCCATTAGTTCTCAATTTTATAATTGTTAAAAGTCACACCATTTGTCCTTGCTTGCTACTTTGTCGCCCTTTATTTGCGACATGCAATGTTTCTATTCATTCCTCATGGGATCTTTAAAAATCAGACCTTATATTTAGTTTATAGAAGTTTCGTCAAATGCCACCCATCACCCTCCTATTTATTGTCATTGGGTTTTAAAAATCAAATATGATCCTTGCCGGTGTTCTCTTTTTTACTTTGTAGAAGCATGTGAACCGTCACGACCCTACTCCTGCATAGCCTAGTTCTTGTCCACCCTCTTAATCATTGTTGAGATTCTAATAGTTGAAGCAATCGTCAATAGTTCTGTTTCATAGTTTCAGGAGTTTTATCAATCACCAGCACACTACTCCTTTACTGTTCGCCCGCTACCTTTCCAATTATTATATGTAATTCTTGTATTCTAGATGGATTGTTCTTACAACATTCCTAATATTTCTTATTTTTAGTTCGAATTTTGGTTGTTTTTCTTTTTCTAATTCCCAAATTATTTTATTTTTTATTCTAAATTTTAATTAAACTTGTATCGTGTTTTGCACTAACTGTTCTTTTAATATTCCTTCTTTTTATTCTAAATTTTGCTTATTTCTAAATTATATTCTGATTTGAACTATTATTTTTATTTTCTAAATTCTGAATTTATTTCATATTTTATTCTATTTTTGTTCTTCCAATTTCATAATTTATTTCATATTTATTCTAAATTTTAATTAATCTCGTCTTGTGTTCTCTACTTTCCATATTCCTTTTATTATTTTTATTCCAAATTTTAGTTATTTCTAAATTGTATTCCTACTTGAACCCTTATTTTTCTATTTCTATTTCAGAATTTATTTTATTTCGTATTTCGAATTTTAATGGATCTTGTATTGCGTCCTAGGAGGACTCTTATTTCAATATTTCTCTTTTTTATTATGAATTTTAGTTTATTTCTAAATTATAATTCAACATGAACTCTGTTGTGAATAGACTCTTATTACAATATTTCTTATTTTTTTATTCTTATTATATTTTATTTTATTCCTAAATTGTAATCATATGTGAACTCTTTTTTTTTTCTTTTCCAATTTCTGCAATTAGTCTATTTATTATTTTAATTAATCTCTTACTATGTTCTTGATGGACTCTTCTTTCAATATTTTTATTTTTTATTTCGAATTTTTAGTTTATTTCTAAATTATATTCCTAGTTCTACCCTCTTTCTTCTTTTTCTCTGATTAATGTGTGATTTTTATTATATATTTCAGTTTATTTCTAAATTGTAATCCTACGTGAACTGTCTTATTTCCTTTTCCAATTTCTGAACTTTTTTATTTTGAATTTTAATTAAACTCATACCGTGTCCTAGATAGACTTTCTCTCAACATTTTATTCCAAATTTCAGTTTATTTCTAAATTGTATTCCTTCCCGCGTAGTTTTGCGTGAAGCTAGATAATTCATGTAGTGTAAGATTTAATATATAGATCTGAAATTTTATTTTTATAAAAAAATCATTATATATAGAAGTATATTTAGATTTCATATACAACTCTTAGGTCCTATTTCTATAAGGTATGGATTTCACATATAAATTTTAGATTCTATTCTATAGTCTTAGATTTCATATACAACACTTAACTTCTATTATAACTGTATTTTATATACAAATATATCAATCAATCTATGCTGTTATAATCTGGACCCACCATGATCTAATGGTAAAATGTTTTTCTTTTTTTATGATTAATGTGGGAATTTCTAGTCTCTACAATGAACGTAGTGCCTTCTTTCAAGCTTGTTTTAATGATATAATAGATTTTAAGGAACAAGTTTTACTGGAAGAAGGATAATAAACATGTTCTAACTTGTGAGTAAAAGAATGTGCAACTAGAATGTTGTTGACTATCAATAAATGTAATAGCAGGTAGTATTTTTGTGTGCCTAAATTGTATGATCCAATATTCACTTCTATGGTGTTTCAGTCAAAAATGCCTATAACACCTACATCAAGTTTGTGAAATATAATGAGAGCAGACTAGCTTACTGAGTGACCAGAAGATCTGCTGTACCTTGTGTGTAAGTTCTAATATTAACTTCTGAGCAAGCTTTTATTTAATTTTGGACATAAGAAATAATATTTATTTCAGAAAATAGCAGCACCTTTTATCTTGTAGATGTCTCCTGATATTATCAATAAGTTCAAGCTCCTTACAATCTTCGTGGGGGTTATTTTGCTGGACCTGGGAGATTATGTCGCAGAAGAGCCTTTTCATATTAGGCTTTTGGGGAACCTGGATGAAAGCTCTACAGTCGAATCGTCCACCAAATTTGTTGTAGAAAAGCTTGGCAAGTGTAGTTTTACCAATACCACCACATCCGACAATAGATACCATCTTGAGCTTTGGATCCCCATCATTGGCCAGCCATTTGATAAACTTGCTCGTCCGCCCATCAATGACTAGGTCAGCAGTTTGTTCATAGGGTGTTGATAGAACATAGCTAACGGACGCATATCTTTGTCTATAGGTGCAACTGTGGAGATCGTACCGTTCGTACCGTTCTATTGCCTCTTGGACATAAATCCTGAATTCCGATATCATGCTTCCGATCTGTTGGTGCCACTTGAGTCTTCTAGGAACACCACTAATCTTCAGATGGTTGATCCTGCAGACAAATCTGGTCTTGGTATTTAGATGGACATGCCCTGCAAGCTTAATTTTGTCCTCAATGTTGTAAGTGTAATCCTCGATATCATAGGACAGCTCACGCACCTCCTTCATCCAACACTTGGCCATTAGGTGAGGGTCGTCCACCTTTGACAGGTCCTCAAGGTATGTGCCTACTTCTTCAAGATCACCTTTAAGGAGCAGTATCCTGTTCTTAACCCCCTTTGGTAGCTTGCATCCTTGATCCAACAGCATGTCCAGCTTGGTAATGAGGCATCCCATAGTGCCTAGGGATGAACTGATTGCCTGTATTACTCTGTTTTTGCCTCCAAATTGTGTAACATCCAAAGATGTGGAGTTAATTGGCGTTATTGCATATACCTGTAAATGCAAAAGGGAAACCATGTGAAAGGGAAATGGATGAACACCCACAAGCAAATGGAGGCATGAAAATTTGGTGATGGTGTTTGTGAAAAGCATAACATCGTTTATCCATCTATTTTTCTTTTCATCTTTTGGGGAAACTAGGTATGATAGTTTAATTGTGGATCAGACATGAGACTTGATGAATTAAGGGATGGTAATGGGATTATTGTTATTGCTGTATGCCTAGAGAGGGATACCTGTTGAGCTTGGTCAGATGACACCATCCTATGTTCATTGTATCTCATCAATTTAAGGGTGGGATGATTAGGATGGACGTTCGCTGCGTCAGTCAATGCTTCCTCCGCTTCCTCAACCTCTGTGAGACGGGCATCTGAACAGTTGATTATTGCCTTGACTCTCTGAAGGGAAGGGAGGTTCTCGGAGACAAGCTTGTCGAAACCAAGGTTGGCATCCTTGAGGAAGTGCACATGAACCATAAACTGAAGATATTCAAGGGTTGGCATGGTAGTAGGCTCATCTATGCGTACACTGCTGCTACTAAGCTTGTAGAGATCGAACCGGATCAATATAGCATACGATATGAGAGACCTCAATTTTTGAAAGTAGCCTATATCTCCACAAGTATGCTTAATGTTTACCACTCTTATGTTGCATGACTGTAGTTCGAGACTACAGAGTTCAGGCATCCTTCCAAGAGTTTCCATGTCCTGTTCTTGCCAGAACTGCACATTCACAACTAAATAGCTGAGGTTCGGTAGAAGCGACGAGTTCATCCATGCTGGCAGTCTAGTTAGTTGCATGCATGCTAGGGACAGGTATCGGAGGTGCTGGGAGGAGACAAATCCTGTTTCCCATGTTACACCCTTTCCCAAGTAGGATTTACCATGAAGTTCCAAAAGCTGGATCTTGTGAAAATTGTGAAGGGACTCCACCAGAGCTATTTCCATGCTCTGATCCCACCCATGGATCCTTGTCTTGAGCACCCTCAGTTCACTAAGCTTACCCAAATCCTTCACAAACTGCATAGCGGTGGCAAATCCCATGCTAAAGTCCTTCATAGCAGGGTATATCCACAGTTCCTGCAATGATGTTAGGTTACCAATTAAACCAGCAGGCACCCTTGTACCCACATCAACACGTAGGCACAACAGTTGTGTCAATAAGCCCACAGTGAATGGCATCTCTTCTAAGTCAGTTTCATACAAGTCCAATGTTTGGAGAAACTTTAGATCCTGACCTATTTCTTCTGGGAGCCGATGAAAACCGCGTGTCCGTGTTAGCCCAAGGTATCTCAGGTGCAGTAGCTTCCCAAGATGCTCCAGGCCATTGCTTGTGTAACCTTCTATGAATTTGCAATCTTCTAGAGCTAGTACACGTAAAACTTGAAAGCTTGGAGATACCACATGGATATCGGATAAAATGGCAACAAATGACCTCACTTGTTCCATGCCCACATTAGCCAGTTGGGGGTGGCGTTTTTCAACAACTCTAGATTGCAAACTTAATCTGTTGGCATTGGTCAATGGAAATTTCTGTTGCTCGTCACCATCTTCTGATAATACGGTGACAAAGTTTTCTTCACTCGATAATGAACGAACAAGATCCAACACCATATCATGAACACGACAACCAATTACATGCCCAGTGCCTTGAGCCTCCACCGGTTGGATCATGCTTCTATTTATCAGCTCAACGAAGTACCCCTCAGCAAGCTCAAATAATCCTATCTGTTGATCTCCATGGATGAAGCCTTCAGCTATCCACTTCCATATCACAAGACATTTGTTGATCTCATAATCTTCTCGAAATATGCTTATATATAATAAGCAAGTTTTTAGATGAGAAGGCAAATGGTAGTAGCAAAAGGACAATATCCTTCTAATATTTTCAACATCATCATTAATTCCTTTCCCCAAACAAAAAGAATTGTACATCTCAGACCAGTTATCTTCAGGATTACTGGCCAACAAACCAGCTATTGCGATGACACCTAACGGGACACCACCACATTTTTCCAAAAATCTTTCACTTGCCTCAGCTGATGTGCTCTCTAAACATTTGCTTTCATCAACATATAGTCTTGTACTTAGTAATTTTTTAGAGTTACCATGAGAAAGTGGTTGCAGATTGTAAACATCACCTACATCTCTCGCAACATTAGAAATACCAGAAGTTGTGACCACTTTACTTCCACAATTATCGTCTGGTAGAGCCGATCTGATTTTGTTCCACGAATTGATATCCCACAAGCCATCAATGACGATAAAATACCTACATACACGAATGGCAACAGAATAGCCATAGTTAGTGAAACTACCTGAACTATCTAAAAGGCCAGGAAGAACGCCAATGTCAAGATTTGGAAAGTGGCATTATTAACAACATTGCTAGGTGGTCAGAAGGCTGAAATTCATAGTAATTATGTTCGGAAACAAGGTCAAGTAATTTAGTATGTTTTGGTTAAGTATCATAAACCACTACGGCATAGAAGCTTCTCGTGGATGAGCTGTGGTTTGAAGCAACCCGTCTGACATATGGAAATATTACTTCTTTCCTTTCATAATGTAACACTTTCTAACATTGCCCGCATTCATATAGATATTAATGAATAGATAGAGTAGACACATATATGTTAAATGAATCTAAACCCGTCTGTTAATGGAGTAGTGTTTAGCGCACGACTGTCTCCATTTTAGAGGGCCATCTCTAATAAAGAGTTACCAGAGACGCTTTTTTTTTTCCTTGAACATGACTATCTCTGATCTGATGTGTGCTGCACCACGTTCACAACAAACTGTTTGCACCAGATTTGTAATTTACTATTTATATAATTATGCAGATAATGATGACATAAATAGCCCATGCAAAATGCATGGGTTAATGCCTAGAGTTGCTAACCACGGCAGTTTGATGACTAGCATGTGTACCTCTTGTTCTGGAGGAATTCCTGTAGTTCGTTGATAAGCTGCTTTTCATCCAACATCAGTGTGTATGAGTTGGTAAACTTTTTCTTGTCAAGATAATAAAGAATATCCCTGAAGACTCTGTTCATGTTAGGATTAATCCGACTGACTGTAACAAAAGCACCACATTGAAAACCCGGTTCAAGCTTGTCATAGATTACTTTCACAAGAGTGGTCTTGCCCAAGCCTCCAAATCCGAAAACGGAGACGATCTTCAACTTGCTCTGATCCCCCATGGACAGCATCTCTATGACCTCATCCCTTGGTCCGTCAATGCCAACAAGCTTTGTTGACATTGCCTTTGTGTATGGATCATGGGTAGGATGACCAACAGCAGTGTAATTGCCTGCGCCATGCTTGGTAGCCACATATCGAAGTCGCTGCTTCGCGACGGCGTCGGAGAACATCTGACCGTACTCCACGCTCCCATTGAACAGCTGATCATTCATCTTCGCCACGAGGCGCATCAGCATCTCAAGGTCGGCTTGCTCGGGGTCAGAGCCGACACGCAAGGAGATGAGGACGGTGTCGACGACGTCCTCCAGGTCGTAGGACAGCATGCGCACATCGTGAGCCCAGAGCCTGACCTGCTCGTCAAGCTGATGATCCCGTGGAATGTTGGCCACCAAGCGTAGGGTGGTATCCATGGTCTTGAGACCCCTAGAGAACTGCCTGACCCGGTTCCTTACGCCCTCCTGCAGCTGGTTCTCCTCCAAACTGAGCAGCTCGGCCAGCCTAGAGAGCAGGCTGCCCATCGCCGCGGTTGCTAGCTCCATGCTCGATCGATCCCCTTCTTGACACACACGGCAGTTGGTTGAGATGATTAATTGGTTACTTGGATGAGTGATCGCTTAGCTCCTCTCGCCGTTCTATCGCCAATATTTCTCCAATATCTACAGAATTACAAATGAAAGGCATTTAAGGAAGTGAAATTCATAAAGAGAGGTAGCTATGTGGAATTGGGGAAAAAAATGGATGAACACTACTCACCAAGCTAACAGCAAACCACCATATGCAATTTCATCGATCCTTAATTTACTTTTGCTTGTGAATAGAATCAGAAGGTTCTATCTTCTTCAGCTGAAATAGTAAAGATATAGAAGCTCACAGTTTTGTTGTAGGTCAGACAGACGAAGCTAACTGATGGATGCGTGAAAGGATGATTTAGCTATATTGTATAAACACACGCATGCTGATTACACCAATCTCGATCTGTACTGTATTATTATAATTTTTTTCAATTGGTGTACTGTATTGTAAGTTGTAACGCCTTGAGAAATTGCATGCAACAATACCTCCTTGTTTAGTGATTAACCCTTACAAATTTTGCATATAGGGACTCCAATTTCACAAGGATAACAGCAAAAATAATAAATGCATAATTAGTCCTCAGTGCATTATATTAAATATGTGCAAAAAAGCATCCATGTTGTCTATACCAATTTTTTATGGAAATCTATAATGCCTATTATCTGGTGAGTCAAGATTATATAACTGTGCAGATTGCTTGAATGTATAATGAACTAATAAAACTATATAACGATTGCATACCCAATTCTATGATATAGTCTTAGTCTTTTATAAATAGAAAGAAGAGTTGGCACACACAATTCTAATAATCTAATAATAAACTATAACCTATCTTTGTGCAGTTATGCGGAAAATTAATTTATCTACCTATCTGAATGCGTATGTAATATCATTATATTTTCTAGTTTACCAAATATAAGCCATTAGGGTATGCCTCTAAATTTAAGGAGTAAATCATGGAAGACTTTCTAGTATTCCATTTGTAATTTAATTTTTCAGCTTACTTTTTGATGGATGTAGTTTCAGCTTATTGCGTCTTTTCAATAAACCATGTATATATATTTACAAAATGGGAAGCCGTTATATTGCTAAGTTAACGTAAACAGCCCATAAAAAGAGTTAATAGGAATAATAATATTGATAAGCAAGCACGTTTGCTCTCACTACAGAATATTTATAGCATTAGGGGTACGGTGGATCAAGATTTTGATGGGAGCAGATTGCAAAAAGGGATAAAAAAGTGATTCAATTCATCGAGATATCCACAGTTCCACACTAAAAAGTAATTGCAAATTGCTTTGAAACTACTAGCGGCCCACCGATAACTAGCTAGCTGCATAACCACAAGTAATTTTCAATGGGGCAGATTGCAAAAAAGGATTATAATAAATGATTTATTTAGTATTACTCACTTAAAAAGGTACAGTTGGTCTGAAACTACTACCGACCCACTGATAACAAGCCTAGCTAACAACGAGTAATTATTCCAGCTGAAAAATTGAAGTACGAAATACGAAGTCAACGCTAATAATATATATCCCCTTGCTAGCCCAAGAGAGGGATCTATGGTTCTTTCTCTTATTATTTTTCTTAAAAATAACCATAGCTGCTCTCCACAGTTCATCTATCACCCGAACTAACCCTGATATCTTCTACTCCATGGCTCCATGCCAGCTATATTTTTCTGTGCTCTCTTTCTCATATCCACCAATTTCCGCAAGGAGAGAAATTAATCAGAAGCGGCGAGAGAAGAATCAAGCATGAGAAGAATTAGCAATATCCATCAATCAAGTGCAAGCTAGGCAGAAGTGTGAAGTTTCGGGGATGGAGACTGCTGTGCTGAGCACTCTTCTGAACATGCTAGGGCCGAAGCTCTACACCTTCTTGCAAGAGAACCATGAGCTGCGGCGGAACCTGGAACACGACATACGGTACATCCGGAACGAGCTCCGGATGATCGGCGCGGTGATCGATGAGCACGAACGCGGGCAGATGAACCACGGTGGCCCTCTGCAGGGGGCTTGGATCCATGGCGCGCGCGAGCTGGCCTACGACATGGAGGACTGCATCGACCGCTTCATGCACCGTATGACAAGTGGCCATAGGCTCGCCACAATGGCCGTCCGCACCAAGTTTGCCACCGTGATCCAGAAGCTCCGGAAGAAATCGGAGGATCTGTCTAAGCTGAGAGCAAACTACACAACCGCTGGCAACGGCAATGGTGATTGCCAAGCAAGCACCTCCGGGACCATGTCGTCATTTGAGACGACACATATCCCCACAGCTGACACCGTCCCTGTGGGAATGGACGGGCCAAGGGATGAGATTCTTGAGCTGATCATGGAAACACAAAGCCAGCCCAATCAGCTCAAGGTCATCTCCCTTGTCGGGTTTGGCGGGTTAGGGAAGACCCTCCTCGCCAAGCAAATCTATGAGAACACCACCATTTGCACACAATTCGAACCACAGGCCTGGGTTTCCGCAGCAGGGAAGAGTGCGAGGGACGTCCTCAAGGAGATACTATGCCAGCTTGGCTTCCAATCGCAAGCACAGGAGGACGATGTCAGCAAGCTCATCACAAGTCTGAAAAAATGCCTCCACTCCAAGAGGTAAGAAATGAGAATTCATTATTCATATTTCTGGGAGGGTATTCTCTCCTGTAATGAATATGTGAAGGTTTAGGACAATATTTAGTCAAACTTTAAAACTTTGGTTATAATATTTTTACTAGAACAGTTTTATAAAATCTAATTATGATAGTACTTTTTGAAGGCGGATATATGCATAACGTTTCTTTACAAACCAGGCATCTGATAAATTATTCATAGCCAAAAAATCAAATAAAAATTGACTACATTTTACTCGACGAGTACCATTAACTATATAATAAAAAAATCCACGTGCTCACTTTCTTCTCATGTTGTCATTATAACATGACTCAACATTACTACCAAAGCGTTTGTCTGCATTTTAACATAGGGCAAATACCACCTCTTCAATATGATAATCTGATGCTGCTGCAAATTACACAGGAATGAAAAAGTCACTACCACAAGATGGAAAGTTTCCCGAGTGCCCACAAACACGGGAAAGTTCATGTTCCTGCCGAAGTGTGTCCGTTGCCACCCATCTTTTCATATGTCACAAATGTACACTCGGGAAGTCTATCCATCCCGTGTATAGCATTCTGCACACGGAAACGTCTCTTTGGTTTCTAAAATACTCCATAATGTTCAGGACACTTTCCCATCCTGGTAGAGAATTGAGAATAATATATACAATCCAATATTATACATATAGCTCAGTATATTAAATTTCTCATTCTATTGTTACAACTACTGTTATTTGTTTCCCTTACACAGCTTCATCAAGCGACAACCATAAAAATTAGAGTGTTTTCATGGTCCTTAAGGAGATTGTTTTAACACTATCTCCCTGTGAACAATAGACAATGTCACAGCTCCTAAAGAGCAGTAAAGAGCTCTACAAATTAGGCTATTCACTTCTTTGTGACTTGCATCCGTTTTCGATGCATATCTTACTCAGACCACTGTCCGTGCTACTAGTTACAACTTACAACATCAATGCTTGAAAACCAGTATGAAAAAAAAAAGGACTCATAATGGCAAAACACAAATCAAATTAAGAAGCAATCTGCTGAAATGACTTATCAGTGGCTAAAACACAAATTAAGGTTGCAATCTGCAGAAATGACTTATCGATGGCAAAAAAACAAATTAAAGTTGAATCTGTTCATGGACTAATTCCAAGGTACCTAAGATGACATGAATATTGCACATCGAGAGTGAAGATTAAATAATTAAGCATAGGGAAAAGGACAAATTAACAATGTAAGAATATTTGGTGCAATCAGCACAACAATGTCTGGCCTTATTAGACAATTATTAGTAACACTATTTCATGGTTCCGAGAACTAATAGAAAAGAATATGCCTAACCATCTAGAGTAAATAACCTAGATGAACACATGTAAGACAAAAGAAAAGGGACAAACCAAAAGTTGCAAATGCAGCCTACATGTGTGGTAAGTTTAAGCTATGGATTATGTAAGTTTACATGACTAATAATAATAAGAAAAAAACTGCTATTACCATGTCTACTAAGCACTGATCCATTTACCTTATTTCTAAATACATCTCTATAGGTTCTTCATTGTAATTGATGACATCCAGAGGGAATATTGGAACAGTACTATAAAAGATGCTTTCCCTGTAGATACAGGATCAAGCAGCATAGTGCTGGTGACGACGGCCATCCATTCCATAGCAAATGCCTGCAGCTCTGGTAATGGTCATGTATATATGATGAGCACTCTTGACAAAAAATACTCAAGAAAACTATTCTTAAGAGAAGCATCATGGGGTGACTACCCACCTGGTTCAGAAACAGTGCTGAGTACTAAATGTGATGGTTTACCACTTGCCCTTGTATCAACAGCCCAATTCTTGAAAAGTAAAGGTCAACAGCTACCACAAGAATATGCAAAGTTGTGTGGCAATCTGGGTATGCATCTGGAAAGAGAGGATACTTTAGAAAGAATGAAGCATGTACTTGTTCACAACTATACCAGCCTTCCTGGCCATGTTATCAAGGCCTGCTTGCTCTATTTTGGTATTTTCCCCAGTGGCCATCCGGTCAGGAGAGGAAAACTGATAAGGCGATGGTCAGCTGAAGGGCTTGTTGAGGCAGACCCTCTCCGAAGTTCTCTGGATGTTGCTACAGACTACTTCAACGAGCTGATCAACCGGAGCATCATTCAGCCTGTTGCTACGAGCAGTAACACTGAGGTGAAGACATGCCAAACTCACGGCATGATGCTTGAGTTCATCCTGCATAAGTCCATGTGCGATGACTTCATTACGTTGCTATATGATCAAGCTTGCCTGCCTGACAAAATACGTTGCCTTACTGTGCAACATAACAGCACCAGAAGGGGCAGAATGAACTCAGACATTGATTTATCTCATGTTCGGTCTTTGACAATCTTCGGAGAGGCAGAAGACTCTGTTTTAGAATTCTCCAGTTATGAACTACTGAGAGTTTTGGATCTTGAAGAATGTGAAAATTTGAAAGATGAACATCTCAGGAAGATATGCAAGCTGTTGCTGCTCAGGTATTTAAGCCTTGGGGGCACTGTTACAATGCTCCCAAAGGAGATCACAAAACTGAAATTTTTGGAGACACTCGATGTACGAAGAACAAAGATAAAAGTTCTGCCCATACAAGTCATCAAGCTGCCATGCTTGACACATCTATTTGGAAATTTCAAACTTCAAGATGTAGGCCAGAAAATTAGCAAGCTACAGAAGTATCTGTCTGAGAAAAGTAAGCTGGAGACACTAGCGGGATTTTTTGCCAATAATGACCAAGGATTTCCTCAACTCATTGATCATATGAAAAACTTGGCCAAGGTTAAAATATGGTGCGAGAGCGAGACCCCTTCCAATTCTAGCAGCAACACTATTCACCTTTCAAAGGCCATTCAAGTTTTCATCCAGAGGGGCACCAATATGAACGATGTCCGCTCGCTTTCTCTGAATTTTGGGGGGTGCTTCCAAGACCAAGAGAATATGCTGAAGTTTTCCCTGGAAGATTCCTGCTACTTAAGCTCTCTGAAGCTAAAAGGCAAAATAAACATATTACCTCCATTTGTAACCTTGCTGAAAGGTCTTACTGAGCTGTGTCTATCATCCTCTGATAAGCTCAACAGGGATGTTCTTGCTGCTCTAAGCAATGTTCGCTGTTTGCATTACCTCAAACTGATTACACCTAATCTGGAAAAGTTTGTCATAGGACAGGGTCCACTCAAAAGCCTACGACGCTTGTGCATCATGGTGCAAACCATGACCGAGCCAGAAATCCAACAGGGGGCTCTGCCAAATCTGGAGTCATTCCGGCTGCTCTGTAAGGATCTAAATGGGCTATGTGGCATCAACATCCAGTACATCGGCCCCGAATGCCTCAAGGAGGTTGCTCTTGACAAAAGAATTAGCGAAGAAACAAAAAAGAAGTGGAAGGAAACAGTGAAGAACCATCCTAGATGGCCCAAGGTCTCATTTGTTAATACAGGAGAGGTTGGTCAGATGCAGAATATGGAGGTTGCTCAGCCTACAGAGGATGCTGCAGCACTGGCTTTGGCTGCCGGCTCCCTAAGGCCGGTTCCGGTTTTTAGACGTCCAAAGGCAGATCAAGAAAGGACCTTAGATCTCTGTTCCATGGGCCAAACCTCTAGGGAATCTTGCAGCAATACTGAGCCATACTTCAAAACTAATGGGACTTCACCAGGCAAGCTGAACCCTGTGAATGATGAATGTCACCATTTCTGCTAGATAGCGAGAACATCCTCTGGGCTGGCTCTGCTCACTGTCGTCATCAGTTACTCTCTTTCTATCTCGCTCTTCACCACAAGCTGCATCATGGTGACACCACTCTTTCCAAGTTACAGCAAAAGAGTGGTGTACAGATATACAAGAATCTGTAGTTGATTACAAATTTGACTGCACTTCTGTTTCAACATTATTATCTGCTCATATCTTGCTACACTGTGCACTAGCTGCATATTATAATCAGTAGAGCAAGCATGTGTATTTCAGTGTTATCACAATTACATATTCAAATGGCAGTATTGATCCATAAATTTGTCGATTTCCTAGCGGTTGTTAAAATTGTTTCTATAAAGAGTGAAACCCTACTTGGGAGGACAATTGTGATTATTGATTTCCACGAGCCTTTGCCCTTACGAATATGTTACATATACAAATGTATGATGCATATATCATAAAGAAGGAATATGCAGCGGGTAGTGGGAATCGAACCCGCAACCCCACGGTTATGAGCTAGGAGGGATAGATGATAAGGGATTACTAGTAACCTACACTACAAAAGAACCCTTCTTTCGTAACGGGTGGCAACATACATCCGATGACTTATCTTTGTCGAGTGGTAAGTTACCACTCATCACGGATGAGTCATCCATGACGATTCGTAGCTCATCTTTGTCGGGTGGTAAGTTACAACCCGTCATCCATGACGATTCATAATTACGAACATTCACACATGAGAATTTACGATTTTTGAATTTTAATGCACAAAAAACGCTAAAAATATTCTATACATTACTAGGACATTCCAATATCTATCTATTTATTTATTTATTTATTTTAGAGAAGGGTATTTTTTTACCCGGCCTCTACATCCAACCGGATATATGTAGCCTTTTTAAATTAGTAAGTTAGCCTATCAAACAGGGAACTTAGCCCTCAAATAACCCAATCTGAAATTCGCTCCTATGTGCTACTCAAGTCACTGTAACCACTAGGCCACATGCCCTTTCACTCGAGGACATTCCATCTATGGTCACACAACACTAGCTAGAAATTCATGATTTTTCAAGTGACATTTACATGCACGCCACAGTTGGATTCGAACCTAGGACCTCTCAGCACATGCAAACTAATTGTACCATCTCATTTATAGACCACATCTTGATGAGTCTTCAGATATTAATTATTCTTTTGATTATTTTGTCCAAATATGAAACAAAAATTTGAAACTCTAGATGACTTCAAATGAGAACGCTTTCAACTACAAAGTTGCAAATCTCATCGAGTTCTACAACTTCAGCGTAGGGCATGTCTCCATCCAAGGTGATTTGAAAAATCAAAAAATATTTTAGAAATAGATCACATCACTTATAGAGCATATTCAAGGATGTAAACAATCTCAAAAGAAAATATTATCAATCACAAAGTTGTAGATCTCATCGAATCCTTGCACTTTGATATAGGGCATGTCTCCATCCGAGATCATTTGAAAAATTCAAAAGTACGTTTTCCAAAATTTATCTCACCACTTATAATCCTTATTCGGTCAAATGCAAATGTCGTCAATTTTAAAGTTATAAATCTCATCAAGATCTACAACTTTCATATAAGGTATGTCTCTATCCGAGGTTCTTTAAAAAATTCAAAATTTTTGAATTTCCCTCATCCGTGACGGGTCGTAAATACCCTTCACGGATAACGTTATCCGTGAAAGGTGGTAGTTACAACCTGTCCTGGATGACTGTTCTCATCTTAAACAGGTTATCCCATTAAACCCATCACGGATGACATGTTATCCGTGACGACGGGGCATTTTTGTGACCCGTTATAGCCTTACAGGTCATCCGTGACTTGTTACAACTACGTCCCAAAAAAGATGACCTCATATTGGTGATGGTTCATCCCTGATAGTCATATCTTAAACGGGATACTTTTCAACTTGTTAGGGATGAGTCATCCCAAATGAGTCACATTAGCCCGACACGAATGGCTCGTCACAGATGCTCGGATCTGTAGTAGTGGAAGTAAATACTCACTCTGTTAAAAAATATAAGGTGCATTTTATTTTGTTAGGATAAGGCTTTGACCATCAATTGCTTAACTAATGTACGATTTATGTGATAGAAAGCATAGGTATAAGTAAGTAGTCCATTGTGCAATATTATAAAGGAAAAAGGATGTAGGGCTACTATCCTCAAGAAGGCCAGCTAAATGTGCACTAAATTATGGATTAACCTCTTGAATGTCCCATATAGATCCAATGATTGTACCCAAATTATGTTGTTATTGAGCCCGCAGCTACCCACGGTTGGGCGTCTAATTACTACAGCCGGGGGGTGAAATTCCGTATCCTGGGTTAGTTCGTTTCGAATTCCCCCCCCCCCCCTCCATTTGGTTTCTAAACACTGTGAACGAAATTACTGGCAGAATCGAACGGAACAAAGAGACATCAGTTTGTTTATTTTTTACGAATTTTCCCGGGATAGAAGTTTACCGGAGGAGTAGACGAGACGACGAAGCTGAGCGAGCTTTGCCAGTCTTCCGCCGCCGCGTCGCCCGTACGGCTTGCCGCTGTGCTGCGCCGCCCTACGCCTCCTTTCCGCCGCTCCCGTGCGCGATCCGGCGGGACACAGACACGGCCCCCTCCGCCTCTCGCCTGCGCCGCCAATTTGCTCCGCTCTCTCTCCGGTGGACACGAGGATAATCGACGGAGAGGAGGACAGCGAGGAGGCTTGTGGGTTTGAGTGGGCTCGATGGGAGCACGAGATGGGCCGGCCTGGTCGGCCCATAAAGTTTTTCACAAGAGTAACAAATAATAAAACAACAAAATTAAATTAAAAGAACCGGACAATCTACCTACCAGTAAAAATGTAAAAACCGAAGAAAGGGATTAAAAGTAATTTATTCCACACCTATTATGACGTGGAATTTATTCTAACTCAATTCTCTCTAATCCCCATCAATTCTCTCCAAACCAAACTAAGGCCCTGTTATTTGTTTCAGTTTAAGATTATTGTAATCCAGATTATTAAATCATATTACTCTAAGCTGGATTATAATAGAAAGAATCCCTTATATGCCACTAGAATTTGACCAGTTCCCTTATATGCCACTCAAAATTAGCTTCTCCCTTATATGCCACTAGTTCAAGTTTTTCCACCATTTTATGCCACTCCCACCACTATAGTGTTAGTTGACTGTTAGTCAAAGGTTAGTTTTTTTTCGTAAATGACCAATATACCCTCTCAACTAAAAAATGTGTAAACTTCAAAAAATTATAACTAATTTATTTTAAATCCTTTTTGAGTCAACAAAATTTGGTTAGAACCAGTGAAAAATGCTCTTTATATTAAAAATATTGTTAGAAAACTGCATGTTTCATGCTTATATTGAAAATTTATTTCTGATGGTAATGGCTAAAATTGCATGTGATGCAGAGAACATCAATTTTCATATGTTGTATCCAATAGCTATATTAGTACTAAAATACTTATTATTGATTGTATACTAATTCTTAAGGGCAAATGCGTCTTTTTACAATGAAGTTAACGGTCAACTGACGGTGGACTGACGGCAATGGCATAAAAGGGAGGAGAAACTTGAACCGGTGGCATAAAAGGGAGAAGCCAATTTGAAGTGGCATATAAAGTAGCCAGTTAATTTAGAGTTGCATATAAGAGATTCTCTCATTATAATAAGCTGACATAGAATAAGCTGCGAGCTGTTTGTTTTTCTAGATTATTGGAGACATATAAGGGTAGTGGGTCTTTAGCCACCCAATAATCTAAAAAAGCTCCTCCAGAGAAGATTATTAGATTATAGTAATTTGGATTAATCTACTTGTTTGTTTCAGTTTACTTCTAATAATTTAGATTATAATAATTCTAAACTGAATCAAACAGGGTCTAAGGCCTAAAGTGGATTTGGGGAAAATTTATCCCCCCGTGTCCGCCGCGCTCGAGTCCGGCCGGCGCAGCAGTTCGTTCACCGGCGGCGCAGCCGCCGCAGTGTTATTGGCCGTCTCCGGCTCTCCGCGCGGTCGTCATCCGCTGTGCTGAGTTCCGAGGGCTTCGTCTGTGATATGCTCTAATAGGCATCTATCTAAGCCATTGGCCATCAGGTCGCCTGGTCCTCCCTGCTGCTTCGTTCAGTATTGGATTATTTCGCTTTGGTTTTGGTTAATGCTCGTGATTCTTGTGGATGAGGTAGTGATTCATGAGAAAATGGACGATTTGTCACTTTGTTAGTTGGGTTTCGACAACATGAACCCTAAATCGTATAGGGTGGCATTTTGTCAAAAACCCAACGAACAAAGTTGTATTTAGTCCATTTTCTCGGTGATTTATTGGGGTCTCTTGGTAAACAAATTAGGGTTCAGATGGTTCAGATGAACTGGGTGTTGTTACTGTTATTCAAGCTGTATTTCCTTATCATTAACTACCTGGGGATTTATCCATGATATCTTCTAGCATAAGCATTAGAGCAAATATCAATTTAAAATATAAATGTGCGACTGCTGAGAAAAATCCAATTGCTGAGAAAAGAACGTCTGCTGAATGAAATTCTTCACCATGTATGCAACTTTCCCCTGTCACAATTTGGAGGAAATTTGGAGAATGAACCTTTGCATTGAGTTAGCCCTGAAGAGCAATATATTGTGTACAAGAAGAAAGCGAAATGACTAAAATACCCTTCAACGTAGTCTAAAACACTTACTCTAACACCCCTAATCAAATGCAATGTGTATGTAATAATATTGCATTTGAAAGGTATAACTAAATACTAAACTAAATCCAAAGTCTATGCGTGATGATGTTGTCAAAGCATAAAAATCATAAATAATGATGAGGAAGAAAAAATCCATCCCCTCATCAATGAAGTGGACTTCAGTGCCTTCACAACCTGTTCTTCAGCCCTTAGTGCGAAAAGCCTTCACAAACTATTCTTCAACTCTTCACTAATTCAGAGACGATGATGATGACGAGATGAATGACCTTCACAAACTA